TATATATATATATATATATATATCTTCCTACTGTATTTTCCACTAAATGCATCCGATGAAGTGGGCTGTAGCCCACGAAAGCTTATGGTCAAATAAATTTGTTCGTCTCTAAGGTGCCACAAGTACTCCTGTTCTTTTGACTTGCAATGATGCGCTTTGTGATGCCATGTGAAATTGCTAACCTTAATTTTGTGGTGCTCAGCCTCCGTTTATTTTGTCTTTTCAAGATTTGAGTATCCTTGTTCCAGAGCAGTAGTGGTTGGAGTAGTTTGGAGAACTTGGAGTAGCTTACTAAATAGAGTATGTGCAACTGTCTAAATAGGATGGGGTTAGGGAAGGCTCGGCCTCAGAAGGAAGAAGCAGAATATTTTTCAGAACCCCAATTTGACCAGTCTTAGGGGTCATATATGAGAACTTATATTTTTTTAAGCCAAGTCCCACAAAAGCATACTACCATGAGAGTACACATATCAGTTGCACTCTGTTTTGCTTTGAAATATAACCCTTTTCGTTGGCAGGTGCTCTTGGTGAGCAGTAGTCGCCATCCAGACAGATGGATTGTCCCAGGAGGTGGCATGGAGCCCGAGGAGGAGCCCAATGTGGCTGCTGTGCGGGAAGTCTGTGAAGAGGTATGTACCCAACAAGAACAGAACACCTAGAATCACTCTATGGTCGGTAGTTGGCTCTGTTTTCTTATTCTTTTCCATTCTTGTTTTTCCTTTCCTTCCCCTGCTGCCAAAATAATCTGCATGTTGTGAAAAATATTTTCAGACTCTTGGTTCATTTTTCAGTATACCTGCAATTTATTAGAGGTACTAATAGTGCTTGCATTTTTAGTGACATTGTCTGTTACTGTACTTTTCTATCTTCATATCCTTAAGGGTAAAAATCATTTAAAGCAAAGTGCAAAGCTCATGTATAATAGAGAACTGACTACAGTTCTATAAGTGTATAACTTCTAAATTGAACACTACAGGATATATGTTGGGTGCAGAACAGAATATTCTCATCACAAATGGAATTAAGATTGAATGGGGGTCTTGGTATCTATTTAAGAAACTTACAAATATATGTCTAATGATAATCTTTTTCCTTCATCTAACTGAAAAATACATAAATTCTCTTTAGTAATATGGACATGGTATGTCTCATAGGTCCCAAAAAAGCTAAACAATGGTTTAAGTTTAAGACTGTCCCATCTCATTTCTTGCTGTGAAGAGACAATCTTCCATTCCCCGTACAGCCTTCACTTTTAGTAGTCTTTTGTATCTAATAAAGTGATACAGTTCCTGGCTACTGTTACTAGAATTTAAAATGTCTTTTCAAATGGTTGCTGGTACTTCTCTTGTACACACACCCCAAATATAATGCAGGTATCCTGTTTTTTTAAAATAAGAAAATAATGTTTTGTTAGTGTTAGGTGGGAGGAAATAAAGGTGTGATGTGAAGACAAGGAAACAATAGCTTTGAAGACAAGATAGTTGTGGGAGGAGAAGAAAGGGGAAGGGTCATGCATGATGCCAAAGTTACAGACAGTGGAAGAAAATAGGAAATGAGAAGAAAGGTAGTACAGTTGTTTAAAAAAGGCTCTCTGCTTCAAGAGAAGCACTGCCTTTTGTCCGAGACCTTTAATTGAAAGAAGTTAAAATGAAGCTGTATTGTTTTAAGTTGAATTTTACATTGTATAGTTAATAAAATGCAGTTTCTTAAAAAAACAGAGCTTCAGAAAAGACATGTCCTTACAGAATTGTCCATGAGTTGGTATTCAAATCATTGAGGCCCATTTATTGGGGAACAAATTAAAATAGTGTTTTGGCCCAATAAACAGGTTTTTTTTGTTTTTTGTTTTTTTTTTAAATCCTGTGTGGATATCCAGAGACTGGCCATGAAAATAATTAGAGGCGTGGAAAGACTTCTTATCATTTAGCGCTCCCCTCATATGGGATTGTTCTGGAAGGAGAGGTGACAGGTATACAGAATTCTATAGAGAAAATAAATTGAGCACTCTTGTAGATGCTTCTTCAGTTAGAAGAATGAGGTACATTCGATTAAATTAAAAGGCAACACATTGAAAACTGATAAAAGAATATTATTTTACATAACATGCATGATATCAAACAGTGAGTTCCACAGATTAACTGAAGCCATGAGCTGTTCAGGGATTTGGGAAGGATTAGATGTTCGTATAGATAACAAGGAGGTCCACAATTGCATAAGATAACACTTAAAATGTTTTTATAAGGGTTATAAACCATCATGCTACAGGGCATAAGTCAACAGCTAACTGATGAGAGTTTGGAGGAAACTTCCCCCATAGGCAAATTATTTCATATTTGTCAACTATGGAATTTCTTGCATTGTCCTCTGAAGCATCTGGAAATGTCTGCTGTCAGACAAGATGCTGGACTAAGTGGTCCCCTGGTCTGGTCTAATACAGCAGTTTCTGTGTATCTATTCAGAGGTCCTCAAAATCTACATATCAGAATTAAAAATCCTTATATATACCACCCGCTGTATACACTCTAAGCCTCTTAATATCAAAATGTCTTTCCTTTTTAACTCTTCCATAAAAATCTGTATTAGGAAATAACTGCCATTTTTTAAATTAACTAACCTCGCACATTGGCACCCTACTTTATTCCTGTAAAAGAAGCGGGTTCATGTACCTCTGAAGTATTTAAAACTCAACTAAAATATTGCAAGTATTTGAAGAACGCTTGAGGGTTTTTTCAAAAATTTCCACTCCTGCTTCCCCTCATATTATGCTTTGTGCTGAAAGTCAGATAAGGTTAGAGCTGAGATTGTCTTCCTCCCCCAGTTGTGTAGTGAGGAGGATTGTGGGGCAGGGTATTGAACTTTGTACTTTGTTCACCTCCATTGTATAACTAGGCCCATGGCATTTGGTTTCAAATGCAGGTGGGGTTAATTGTGCTTGTGAAAATCCTTGGCAGCACCCAGCTGTCTCTCATAGCAATTATTTGCTTGCATGCCATGGAAAGAATAAAATGGTTATGTTTTAAAAAGCACCTCTCTTCCCAAAGCCCACTAGTTCTTCTGAGGTCTATTTTTGTTGGGGTGTTTTTTTGTTTGTGTTTTTCTATGAAGATAGCATTTTCCATCTGCTCATATCTTTGAAATAGAGGAGAAACTACTCAGTTTTCTTGTTCCCAAGCTGTAACATGGCACGCTGAACTTGAGCTACTAATAATCAAGACTATAGCAAAATATGATGCTGGCAAAAGACAAATGATAGAGTTTAACCAGGCTAGTGAAACATGTTCTACTTGGGGACACAGCCCTGCTTTATGACCAAATCGCTATTAATAATTAAGCTATTTGATATTGAAGTCAAAGGTTCATTGAGCAGATCCATGGCTTCACCTTTCAAATCCTAAAATAAATCTGCATTGACCCTCCCTTTCTCTGGCAGCTGAGAGCCTTGGAGAAGCTGCTCTATTTCCATGACAGCTCAGTGGTTGAAAGGAAGTCTTGGCATGGACTCCATTTGCAGTGAAGAAACTGGTTTGGGCTGGCTGAGATAATCCCCTCTTGCTCAGCTGGTGTTTGCTTGCTCACATGTATTGCTGCCGAATGAGACTGTAATTCAAACTGTGGCAGCCTAGCAGGGTTGAGTTGCTTTGAGTGAAGTACCTGCCTCCTTGAATGCTGCTCAACAAACAATAAACATCAAAAGTGCCAAAAGGAGCAGGGTTACAGGAACAGCTGACCACTGCAGCACCCAATCGTATTTCTAGTGATTTCAGATTCCACCTCTGCCCTCAATCTGTCAGATGCTGACATGATGAAGACTCCTCTCGAATGAACTTCAGAAGAGTGATCTATTGCATGTAGTTACCTGGTAGAGGACTATATGATCACTGCAGCAGCTGATTATAACTTCTTAATCCAGTGACTGCAATCATTAAATGCTACTTAGCTATCTTCCAATATGCCAGTTATAATTGTGCAATGTATAATACTTGCACAGAATTACAGAAAATATGAAATCTCAGTCTTATGATCACAGAACTGCTTTGTACGTGCTAAAATGCTAGCCTGGGGGCCTGTCATATGATGGGCATAATCTGTTACTGGATTTGGGAAGCTGAGGTGCCCAGTTTGGAACGCTAATTTGGCAGAGGCAGTGGTCCAAAGCGATGGCTTATCAGAGTATCAGTTTTGCCTGGAACTCAGGACTATTATGTAAGCCTTAAAATAATTCATCCCATTGCTTGATTTCAGAAGTTTTTGAAGGGCAGTAATTGGATTGTTGTGTTATGGGGGCACTAGTAGGAGCTCCTTTCTGATGAGAATTGATCCCCAGACATTCTTGGGACAACTGCATCCACCTCCTACATATAGGGAGGTGGTAGATTGGCTGAGCAGGTAGATCCAGCTGGCTCCTTTGCAGCCTGCCTCATGGGCTGCTGCGGATTCCTGGCTCCCTGGGCCTGCAGGAACTTTGGCAGCCCACCTGACAGGTTCCCCAGGATTTCAGGACCTCGGCTGGCTATCTCCCCACCTAGTTCCCTGGGCTTCCCACCTGGTAGTGAGTCTTCCCAGGTGGCTGGCTACCCAGCTCTCTGGGCTGCCAACCTGATGGCGGGCACCCTGGGGTGCAAGGGAACTGGCTGGAAATGTTGAAAAAATTCCATTTCAGGTCTCCTGAAATGAACTTTTTCAATTGTTTCCATTCCATAGGAAAATGCATTTCTGATTTTTGTTCAGATCCAGAATGAAATGTGAAATTTCCTACAGGAAAGAAACTCTGGTTTCTACACAGTTCTACATTTAAATATAATAGTCTTGTGTAGCCATTTTCACTTTTTTCTCTCACTATCTGAATTCATCAGTTTATGAGAGGTTGTTTTATCTTGCATCAGCTAATTAAATATTTGATGTGAATTCCAACACTGGTTTTACATGTAAGAATAGAGCATATGAAGAATTAGAAAATAATCTGCTGTCTGCACAGATGCATTTGAATTTCACATGTCTCCAGTTCCATTGTAGTACAATTAACCTTGAATTATAATTAGCTTATCACAGTCATCGTGGTATGTAAATGCCTTACTCGCTGGATATACAAAAATACAAGTACTCAGACTTTAAATATTGGATGTGACTACAAAGATTTCCCAGGCTGTTGAACTGAAGCTGTAAGGATCCCATGTGTTTATAAGAACTGATTTGAACCTGCAGGTGGCAAACATCAATGGTAACTTAAAATGTACTTTTCATCTGCTGTAACCTTCATTGCTAGCAAAATTAATTGCTAATGAAGGGTAGGGTAGGGAGGTTAGAAACAGTAATGGGGAACCCTAAATTTTAAACTACCCTAACTAATCCTGTGTACTTTAAAGCTGGGGTTACAAGGTATTTAGCACATCTGGCACATCAACATTCATATGCCCCTTCATGCTTTGATTTGTGGGCTCTAAAGTTTTACCCCCTTTTTTTTAACATAACTGCACTCAAACAAAACAAAAATAATAATTCTACATTTGTAAGTTGCACTTTCATGCTAGGGATGGCACTACAGTACTTTTATATATTTGAAAATGTAGAAAAACATCCAAAATATTTACAATTTGAATGTCAAGTATCAGAGGGGTAGCCGTGTTAGTCTGGATCTGTAAAAAGCAACAAAGAGTCCTGTGGAACCTTATAGACTAACAGACGTATTGGAGCATAAGCTTTTGTGGGTGAATACCCACTTCGTCAGATGCATGACAAAGTGGGTATTCACCCACGAAAGCTTATGTTCCAATACATTTGTTAGTCTATAAGGTGCCACAGGACTCTTTGTTGCTTTTTACATAATTTGAATGGGCATTCTATTATTGTTTAACAGTATGAATAAAACTGATTAATCACAACTGTTATTTTAATCTCGTGATTATTTTTAATTGTTCTAATTTAATTAAAATTATTGTAATAATATTGCAAGGTTAGGCCATATAATACGTTGATATTTTAAATTTAATTTAAATATATGTATTTAAAATTTTACTTAATTTAAATAACAAATCCAATTTAAATACATGTCCAATTTTCTTTTTAATCTATAAATTTGATCATTCACACTACTATGGTAGTCATAAGATAGCAGAGAATTAAGTCCACAGACCAACAATGTGGGTAAAGGAAAGGGTAAAACAAACATTTTGCCCAACAAGCCCTTAAGGATATATTTGGCCGTTATCTAAAATAGCAAATTTCATATCTTGTAATTCACCACCAGTATTTGTGATGGAAGCTGTATTGTAGATAGGATTCAATTGATTTTACCTGAGGTTTCTCACTCTAAAGTTTTCTAGTGTGGACTCAGCCTTTGAACCCAAGTAGACCAAAGTAAAACAACTGAAATTCCAACCCACATTTTCTTCAGCTCAGTTGCAAGGAAATAAAAGCTTTCTGTAGAACAGGTGGTGTTGCTGCAGACTGCTTTTTGCATCTGACACAAACTTATTTTCAGCTTTGAAACCCAAGCCTGCAGATCTTAGAGATCTTCAGCCTTTTTCCCTTTATTTTAAGCAAGTTTTATCTGGGCTCAAACTGTGCTGAGCATGTTGTTCTGTTCAATTTGCCATATAAGAGCTGTTGGATCATCGAGGGTATCTCGATATGCAGGTGTCAAACTGATTTTTCTCTCTAAGATGGATCCCAGGCTTTTGGGGCTCGTGCTACAGTTACATCATCCCTCTGGTGATTACACTGTTTTCATGTGAATTGACGGCTTTCAACATTTGCTTCCTGTTTTTACAAACCTTGCTGTTACACTGGAAATAAGGAAATGAGCTGAGTTGTAGTTAAAAACATTAAACCTCCTTCTGTTTGTACTTTCTGTAGGCTGGAGTGAAAGGGACGTTAGGAAGATTAGTAGGAATTTTTGAGGTAAGTTTATTGAAATATCTGTTCAGGTTGTAAAGTCTTGCTGCAAAAATGTCATTTTAGTGAAACTTCTTTCTAAGCTTGCAGCAGTATGCATGTTGGCCAAACTAGACAACCAGGTTTGGAGGGAAGGCACCTTTTTTTTTTTTTTTTTTTTTTTTTTTTCCAGAGGTGCTGAGTGCTCAGTTTCCACTTCAGTTGGGATAGCTGGTGATCAGCAGCAATCAAAATCAGATCTCTTATTAAATAACGCCATTCACTGGCAGTACAGAGCAAGACTTCATGTAATAGTGTTGGGCCTATTTATTGTGTGTGGACTATTGTATGCTACTTCATCCTAATGCCACTTATTGTAGTCCCTTGATTTTATACACACTAACCCTTTCTGAACAACTTTCTTGATCTTGAAATGGGAGACCACTGATTGTAGTTTTGTAGACTAAATAAGGTCACTACTTAAAGGAAGGCTTGCACTATCCCACCTTCTCGAGGCTGCTTTAAGTTGTCCGTCCCCCGTCTCTCCTCCCCCCCCCCCCAAAAAAAAAAAAGGGTTTAGGATTTTATTTAGGTGTTGTCTTCTTGGCTGCTCTGCCATAATCCTGTCCATTTTGCCTTTCAGAATCGGGACAGGAAACACAGAACATATGTTTATGTACTTATTGTCACAGACGTGTTGGAAGACTGGGAGGACTCTGTCAATATTGGTAAGACCTTCATGCTTGTTAGCATTACTGGTGTACGTCTTCCCTCTCATACAGAAGCATGCCAACTCCCCGCCCTTTACTGTGATTGTTAGAATAGTTGAATTCTATTGACTTGTCCTTTTGAAAGCAAAAATATGATCATGTTGTTGATTCCTTCTTCCTTCCCTGGTCCTTTAAGAGTCGTCTCAGTGGGTTTATATAGAGACTCGTGTTTTGTCTAATTCTTGCACTTCTGTTTGACCACTCACTCCTGAAAGCGGTGCATTTAAATCCTTATCAGATCCCCAAACGAAAATGAGTTTGTCAGTATAATTCCTGCAGGATGCTTGCTAACACTCTTAAAAACCCACATATAATTGGGCTCATCTTGCAGGCTCTCCTCAGGAGAGGTGTCAGTACAAAGAGACAAATGCTGTACAAGAAGATTGAGATGCCTTGGGGAAAAAGCACTTCCTCATGCCAAGCCAGGTTTCAGAGAGTGCCATCTTTTCCTCCTCTTCAGGAGCATGTAATTTAAAAAGAGAAAATTGTTAAATGATAGATGAAGTTCAAAATTTGTTATGAATTCCCTTAAAATCGGTGGTGTTTTTATATTTTTCTATCCCACTCAGAAATCATGGAAATAACATTTAAAAAAATAAATCTCAGGATCCAAAACCACCGTCAATTGGATGGTGGACTTACTACCCTAATGAACATCTTTTGTGGAAGGTTGGAGGCATCTGTGTTACACTTGGCTAGGGGGGACCCTTCAGTCGCTATGAGATCAAAAGACTAATGAGAGAAGTCTCTTGGGATTTTTGAATTGGCATTGGGCTGCAAGCCCACTTCATTGTTCCACTTTAATCACAGTTGACATGGACAGAATGCTAGTCAACAGCAAAAACTTCACAGAAGGGATAAATGTCTATCTTTAGTCCTCTTACTGCGTTTACTAATTTATTTCTCTACCCACAGGAAGGAAAAGGGAATGGTTTAAGATAGAAGATGCTAAAGAAGTTCTGAAGTCCCACAAACCAGTGCAGGCCTCATACTTTGAAACCTTGAGACAAGGCTGTTTGGCAAACAACGGCACTCCTGTCATGACCGCTTCATACACTGACTCTAATGAGAGCTCTGTCTCTGACATCAGATGACTGAAGATGTCCCTATAAAAGAGAGTTTTGGAAAATAGACTGAAACATGGATTTCCCCCCCGTCCCTCTCCCACCCCCTTTCACATGCCTCCTCTGTCGAACAAGGCATGGGCAGCAGCCTGTGGCAAAGCAAGTGTTAAGAGTGTTGCAAGGTTTAGTGCAAGGTGGGGTTTTTTGCTTTTTTGGATATGTATTTTGTAAAATACATTTTGTGCATGAAGTGCCCCTTTCCCTTTACACCGCTACCCTGGCCTGGAGAGCGACGCTGCTCGTTTCGCCTCTGCCTTGTGTTCTGAAGTGTTCCCATGTGTCATCCCAGCCATAGCCAGACATTTTTCTTTTTTTTTTAATTAAAGACTGCAAATGTGAGATCAATTCTTTAAGTCTTAGTCTGTACTGTAAGGTGCTGTTCAGACCTGTGGTGGTCACTTTCAGCGCATATGTATAAACTATTTTTTTAGATGGAGGAATCTAACTTTTTAATTTTGCGGGAATTTTTTAAAACCTGGGCTACTTGTGAAAAGAGGGTTTCATAATTAATCCGTTTGCCTTGTTTTTTTAAATATAAAACTTTTTGTGACCATGCTAGTGGCTGGGCCAGTTTACTCCCCCATAAGCCCCTGAAACTTAGTGCAGTGACATTTTAAGGTCAGAGCAAAGTTTTGATCACCTTCAGACATCCCTGGTGCTCAGTTCCTTCTACAGATTCAGCCAACATTTCTGCTTTTATATTAGAATGAAACGCAAAGAATTGGTCTTTACCGCCCAGCCAAAAGCAAACAGCCTCAGAAACACTATGATAGAAACTGAATTTTGGCCTCAATGGTAGGAATCAGGGATTCAAAGTGGGGTTAAAATCTAACCAACTGGAGCTTCAAGCACCAATGCTGCCCTGCTGTTTTGGAATTCTTTCCCACTTGCTGGATATTGCTGATGTCTCTTCTTGTCCACATGCCTTACACTGTGCTCAACTGAGTATTGTAATTTGTGCTAAAGCATCTGATTGTACTTATTGAGTGTCATTGCACAAACCCGTGGGGGATGTCCCTGTTGTGTCCCTAAAAAGAAGTCTTGGGGGGAAAAAATCAGGTGTTGAATCTCTTGTATGTGGCATTGCAGCACTTACAATTGCACCACAGAGCATACTCAGAATGTTAAAACTATCATCCTCTGTGACAAAGGTACAGCTGGCTCCCAAGCAGAAATGCTAGTGTGGAGAAGTACATCATTTAATAGGATAGTTGCCCTGATGCATTGGCACAGTTCATGTTTTTTTTTTGTTTGTTTGTTTGTTTTTTACTGATGTAAGTTTCATGCTGTCTTGATTTGCCAACAGTGTTGTCTAGTTGGGAAATAAAATGGAAAGGGTTGGGGCTGGAGGGTGGGAGGGTAGGGAAAGGTTTGGGAGGGGCATTAGTTAATCCCTGGCTTGGGACAGGAGCTAGTTGCTGCATTTGGTAACTTCTCCTTTGTCAGAGCATAGCCAAGATGTGAAATTAAATCTGCAGTACTCTTCCTTATATTTAACAGAAATTATTCTAATAAATACTCATTCTTTCTTCCCATTAAGCACTTACAATATAAAATTCTGATAGACCTATCAATGGAGCTGGGGTAATGGGAATTGGTATTTTCACTACTTTGGCAAGAGGCTGTTCAATTTGAGATCCCATTCTGTTCCTTTACTTGTTCTCCCTACTTTCATCAATATGGGATAGCAAGGCCAAAAGCAGTGCCAGTGATCACCAACATGAAAAGGCACACAAGAAAAGGCTGAGGGGCATTACTCAAGAAGTAGTTTGAAACTGAGCATCTGGAATTCAGCCTAAATTACACCAGTTCTGTTCACTTCAACTTAGAAACAAATGTACAGTCCCTTCTTAGTCTTTGTTGATCAGCCTGAACATAACTCTAAAAAGGGCTTGAATAATATATCCAGAAATGGACAAGAAAGTAAAAGAATCCTTTCTTTCTGAGCCGTTAGCGGCGCCTAACAACACAGCCATCTACTGCCTTCAGTTGAGTTTTTGTCCTTCACTGTATAGATTAATGCATTACAAATGCTTTGCAAAAAAGCAGCTGGTACTCCTGAAAGAGTAACTGCAGTTTTAATATCAATAGCATGCACATTTTTGTTTCCTTAAATCTAAAAATGTTTTTATAGGGCTGTTAAACTGACACTTTAGGGTAGAATATTGTTAATAACTTGCTAGTGGCTTCTTTGTTTGGGTCAGAAAAATAAATTGTGCCAAGAAAGTATTTTAATGTGGCATGAATTGATGCTGTTGATGCAATTACATTGAATGGCTGGTGTTATGCCTTATTAACTGGAAATAGAAGATTGAGCTCCTGGGGTGGAAGTAGTCTTTATTCAAAAGCTGTGTACTTAAAACAAGCCTTGTTCCTGATGTACATAAATCTTTCCCCCTTACCACCACCTAGAGTTCGCATCTTCCCAATGTCTGAGGTTCTTCTGTAACAATTCATATAGCCATGTGGTATATTAGCGTAAGTAATCTTGTCCAAAATGACACTAAATTGATTTGGGACTCATAACTGAGCTACCTTTCATATGCAAACACATCAGGATTTTAAGATGGGGGCTCTGGCAGCTGTTGGCAGCATGATGTCAGTTAAACCTCTCCAGAGCAAGTCTCACTGACCCAGTGCACAAAATGGCTTCCGAACTAGACTAGGACTTCCAGCATTGCTAAGACCGGTGCTTCTGAACGTGCTAGCAAGGGTGGAAATTGTTACCTCCCAAAACAGTGTTGTGTATTGACCCTAAATCTAGAGCTAGGATGTGTTTCAGATCTTCACTTAGTCTGGGAAGTCTGGAGCTACAAAGCTCCAGCCACCACTAGAAAGGTTTCGATGTGTTTGCTTTGGGTCAGAATTTTCCACCTCTCACAGACACCAGGGGTTCATTATTGTGTGTAAGTATTAGGTTATCTTCAGCACCCCTGAACCCAGGATTCTAATGAGAATTGGAGGCCTGGAATTCAGTGCAGTATAGTAAATTCACTCATTTTTCCCAATGTTTTGCCAGCTGCACCTTTATTCCGTACATATATAAAGAGGAGGTACTGGGAGGCAAGACTGCTTACAGGGGAGGAGGGAGGAGAAGTTGCGGGATATTGAGATCTTGAAATAATGGTTTTCCTTTTGCATCCTACAGTAGGGCTCAGGGTTGGAGGGTGACAGTGATGCATGGGCATGGAGACATAGGGCTTGTCTACATTAGGGAAACTTGGCAAACATTTCCCACTGTCACGCAGGCTGATTCAGCTCCACCAAAGTTAGCAAAGTTGGGAGCCCTAGTCTAGATGGGCTGCAAGCTGCCCACCTGCATTTTAAGCACATGGACCAGATTGTCAAAAATCCCCCTGGGAGCCTATCTCCATCTTCAGGCACCTCAAAATCTATTGAAAAGCTGGCTCCATGTTGCTTAACCTTGCTCAGAGCAGTTTTAACTGACACCGGGCTTAAAATGCTAGTGGCAGCCAGAGGGTCCTCTGCATTATGGTGCCAAACGTAACTAACCCTGGCGGAGCTGAAGTAGTGTTAGCACCAGCGTAGAAGAGGCTTGAACAGAGAATAGCCCTTCTCTTAGAAGGAGGAAGTGTGCTTCAGGCTCTTGGAATTATTTCTCAAACCCTGTTTTGATACAGTGGAACAATGACTGCTGTGGCATTATTTTTGTGCTTTAGTATCACCATTTAGAAAGTCTGTGTGAGTAAAATAAATACGGTATCTTGGAGTCTTTGGAATTAGTTATTGTAAATCTTTTTTGGCTTTAACCTTTAGTTAATTAACTCATATTAGGGCTTTTTAAAAAGAAAAAAGTCCATCTTAGCAGTAAACAAAACTGCATCATCCTTGTATAAAGTGATTAGCTTGATTTTTCCCCCCCCCCCCCTTATGTTTTTTGTGTTAAATACAGGGCAGCCTCTCATTATTTCTATATATCTAAGTTTCTTACACACTTAGCCATAATTTTATTTTTTCCCTATTAATCTATATGCCACTATGGCTAGCAATTTCTCATCTTATCTCTCCCCCCCCCCCCCATCTCCATTCCCAAAAATGTATTGTCCTTGGCCATTTTTACTTCTGAAATAAATTTGCCAACCACAATGGTGAGTGCCACAGCAATATGTCATCTCAGTAGCGTTCTGGTTATTTCAAACCTGACACAGGGCAGATTTAGAATGTGATCCCTGGAGAAAACAGTTACCTATGTGTTTAGGATTTTTGTTGGTATTTTGTAATCAGGGTAAAAGTGTAAATGGTTTTCCTACATCTGCCACTGAGCCTGTTTTAAAAGCCTTCTGAAAATCAACCACTGAAGCACACGGGAAGTTAGCGCTCCTACACTAGTCAAAATTCAAGGAAATCATGGGTTGCAATGACTATGGAGTTACTGCTGATGGTAAAAACACTAAATGTTTTACTGGGAGGTAATTGATTTTAAAAAGAAAAATGCAGCCACGCTCTCCCTCCTCGCTTGGTTTTGGCCATCTGTCAAACATAAATGTCCCCAAGCCACACTGTTCTTCAGTCATGAGGGAAAACGTGGTGAGCTACATACCAGCTTTCCACTGGAGGGGTAATACTCTGTGCTCAGGCCTTTCTGTAATAAAGTATCTTCTGTGTGGTTTCCCTTATCTCATCATGGCAGACTTTATTAGGATGTCTTGCCCATGCCTGTGAGAGGTTTCAGTTCGACTGTGCGAGCTTCATAGTTTGGGGCACTGGGCTGTTGCTAGCTTGAGGAGCAAGCATGTTCACATTTGGGTCTCCTTTGTGACAGTGTGGGGTGGGGAAAGTGTCTTTGAGGGATGATATTCTTGTGAATAATTAGACGTGGAACTCTGACATTAGAACAGTTTACCCCTAGCAATGGCAGAATACCGATGCTTTCCTTCAGGCAGTATTTTCCCAGGTGCAAGCTTTAGTTTGATTTGGCTGCAGTGATGGTTTACTTGAAACCAGCAGGTATTTGCGCATCAGGATAATAGAATAAAAATGGTTGAGCTGCTGGAAAATCAGTTACCCAACACATTAGTTCTTCTAAAGATTAAAACGTGGAGGGGAAGGGGAATCTACCTGCCAGATTAAAAAGTGTTCTCATTGGAGCCTCTGGTGTAGATTTAATGGTTTTCTCTTCCCCTTTGTTCCCTTGTTCACATTATCTGCATTTGGATTAGAAGTGTCCTACGTAAATTATTGTACATACTTATAAGTACCTTTGGAAGACACATGTTATGATGAAACTGAAGATCTTTGCATTCTCAAGCCCCAGCAAGTGGTACGTTTTCCTTGGAAACAGGAAGAGGAGAATTAATGGATTTTTTGGGGGGCTGATGATCCTGCAAACTGGCAGGTGGTGTTGCCAAGAATAAAGCTAAGTATCTTCTGATCTCCCCACAAAGATGGATTTTTTTGTTTTTGTTTTTTTTGTTTGAGACCCATGGCTTACTGGAGATGTGCAAAATCCAGTATTTTACACAGCAGGGGGATGAGGGGGGAGTTCATGCTTTTTTCATCTTGCTTTATGGTAGCTTTGTATAGAGGAACTACTTCCTATCATCACTGGAAAAACTTTTATTCCTATTCTTGTCACATTACATACCATCTAGCAACTGAAGCCCAAAATACTGCCTCTGAGACCACAGTACCCTTGCTGCTTTCTTCCGTGTTGGAAGATCTTAGGAAATATGAGTGTTTGGTGTGTGTATCTCTAAGTGTATTGTGTGACAAAACCTTGACTTGATTAAAATCTACTTTGTAAAGTAAAAACTGGAGTGTAAAACTTTAAAGAATTCAAAACACCTTAATTGGGTTCAATTAATAAGAGTGAATGGGGCTGATAGTGTGACAATTCATGTGTGGATAGGGATTGGGATCCTGAAAGATGTGAATGCTGAGGGCCTGATCTTCCCCCCCCCCCACCCCCCAAAGTCTTTATTCATGAGTTGCAATGATGGGACCTACGCTCTCGTAATTAAGATTGGAGTCTTAATTTAGCTAAAATACTCCACCTCAGCACAACTTCACAACTGTAAAATCCAAAGGTGAAGCTATAGAAGATGTTTCTCTTGAAATTAGACGACATGGTTAGCATAAATCTGTGATCATCTCCTGTGAAAGGAAGGTATATCTGGAGCTGTTGAAGATCTATCCTGCTAGACAGTGTTGAAGTAATGGGTTAATATTAGTGATGAATTGTGTTGACCAATTAGTTTAAACCTAATGAGTGGGGATAAAAATGTTGAATCTAGCGAAGGAATATTGGTGACTCAATAAGCT